TTTGTTTCATACCGTCGTCGTTAATAAACAATTAGTAGCATCACGAGGTCGAACCGCTCGTTTTTGTTACCATGTGCAAATAGGGAACGTCCACATAAATCGCAATCACTCTTCATGATGTAGAAATGTACAGTAGCGTACAAAAGTACTAGTCGAGCACAGAACTTTGCACGCGTTTGATAAAATTAAAAATGAAATAAAGACGTAGCAGAGACCCTCTTTGTGTCAGATCCGTCACTGAAGCTATCGATTTCGAAGCAATTATCCGAGTCAATTCAAATAATGGAAAAATGGAGGAGTTTATGGCCTAACGCTTATCTTTATTACAAAGTATAATACTAGCGACTTCCGGCTTATTAGCAAACTCACCGTTGAACGGCAACGAGGTATTTCAAATTGAAAATAGCGCCGAGGCTCGCGGCTCCTTCGCCAGCCGACACTTCGAGCCGTTTAATGACGTTCCCAGGATCGGTGCCCATAACAACCGGCAATTTATCGTCTAATAAATCGAAGACTGGTTGACCGTCAACGGCTGGACCGCTCCTGTCCATCCAAATTGCTGATTAGTCGCGGTCGAGGATTTAACTCCTCCTCTTAATTCGCTATGTAAAGATCATAAATGAGTTCTGCCATCGTCATTATCGAACATGTCGTTGCCTTCGTTTCACCAGAATTGCTCTATGTTGTCTTGGATAAGAATACTGTCGCGCGAGTTGTTGACTCTAAGCAGTATGCTTAAACCGCTCTTTTATAGGGCACGCGATTAAAAGTAGCAAAGTCTGGATCGAAATCTCGGTTACTACCGATTCTATCGGAAATTTATATAGAACGATCAAGTTTCTGAATTTTATTCTCAACAAGTTTTATAATATACGTTTTTATTGTACGGACAACGATGAGAGAGATACCGTGCACTGGTTTACGGTTGGTGCATCGTACGTTGTATGAGACGGGGGACACGAAACAGGACTTCTAGACAACTTGCTCATTTTTAAAGATAAAACAGAATGATTGCAGTAGAAGTTGTTTCACTTGTGTTTTATTTGTGTTAACAAATAATTTTTTAAATTTTGTTGTGATAATTTTTTAAATTATTTGTTAAGCTTTGATCGAATGATTGCATAAATGATATGCAATGATAATCAATATAGTTCTTCTGTATTATAATTTTGTATACTGTATGTACAATACCTAAACCAGAGGTGAAAATGTATTGTAGAAGTCTCTACGAAAAATAAGTCACGGAGATTCGCGCTTATTCACGCGTACACACTTTTCTTTTATCAATTTGCTTGTTACGCCATCCAAATAGCCCATCGAACGATCGAATTTTAAAGAAAAGAAAGTGTGTGGGCGTTATCAAGACATAAAGATGCAGTATCGACTCGCATCCATTTGGCATTAATTTTGGCTTAAAGTATAAATAATTATCTACAAAATGCCAACAAATGTTGTCTCGAAACAATAACAATTGACGGAGTTATTAAAGTTTGAAAAATGGCAAAATTTTGTTGTGATAATTTTGTTGGATAGTAAATTATACTTGTTCATTACGGGTGTCTATTACTGTAGATATCAACGTAGCGTCATACAATATAAATCCACTGCAAATAATCAATCTACTCTCTCTCTCTCTCTCTCTATCTCTCGGATATTCATCAAGCGCTCTTATCTCTATTATCAGGAAGTTTCGTTAGCGATTTAACACAGCGAACTGTAATTGAACTGTAAAGTTAATAAAGGATCTGACGTTCAGTAATCGGTTTAAAGGATGACCGATATTAGTCACGATTACGCGGCGTCAGTCAGCTTCCAGTTGATCCTCGAGCTTTGTAACGAGAGTAATTATTTATTTATCTGCAACTGCCAGCGTGAATGCCGTGTAGGATTAGAGACGCAAGATCATTATTTATGCTTTTGCTACGGTACGCACGAGCCAAGCTGGCAGTCACGGCTGCCTGAATTGATCATATGTCACTTGCCCGCTATATTTCCAGTAACGAACCCTAACTTCTTCCTGAAGGATAATTGAGATTTCTCTGTAATAGTCCCTCCAACATTATTTCCTTTTCCAAGCAAGTACATAAAGCAGATATTTTAACCAAAGCGTTACAAAAAAATAAGCATCAAAATTGTCTATCAATGTTAAATATAAAATAAATAGCCAGATGTGTGATTTCGTGAGTACGTGTGAATGCGAAACAGTATTTGCGATTGTTGCGTATGTAGATAGAGGGAGTGTTGGCAATAGGATCTTCCTACGCTACAATACGTTGGTAGCATTGCTCCCTCTGGCGACAGGTTTGCCTTTTGTTTTATGCGTTACGTTGCATACGCGCTTCGCGTCGCGTCCGTTTTTCTATACGTAATATTAGTATGTAATTCAACCTTTCTTAATAAACCACACGTGTAAAACTAAGTATGCGTAAACTCTGACAATTGTTAACTAAACGAAGAAACGATTACATTCGCAGTAGTAATAAGTATTTTCTGCGTGCGAGTCTAGTTTGATCAGTAACGATGTATACTACTTGTCAACTGCACATTTCTTTCGCCAGAATGTTTGCAGAGAAATCGAAGTATATACCGTCTAATAATTTCTACATAAAATTAAAAATACTTCAGAAATATTTCTAGTGATTTTTCATGTGATTAACCCTTTAGCCAATAACGTGTGAAACATGTGATAAGAACGTGCAAAAGGTATACCTGCTTATGCGATCGCTCAGTAAATCATAGGACAAGGTTGAAAGATATATTCTGATTATTATAATTGTTTGTTGTTTGATTCAGGACAAGTCTTAATGTCTATTAACCGGTAACTACTCCACATAAAAAGATAAGCAGGAAATATTTATTTTCTCATATTTCCTACTCTATCTTATTCATAAATTCTATGAAAAAAAAAATAATCATTTCAAAATTGAATAGGTAGCTTTGAAAATCGATTAGATGTTACGTTTCATATATTAAAGGTTCTGCATTGAAACTACGCGGAACTATGAAACTGCGCGGACAGCGGTAGATGCTTTTTCTAAAAATGCTCAAAATCATTACTAACCAATAAGTAACTAGTTTGTGATTTCGATCACCAATCAATTACGTTTCGATTGAGTAGCTTCGTGTGTGGACGACCTAATAGTTTCCGAAATATTGGACCACATAAGTTTCGTCCCGCTAGATCACTGAAATATCACACTGTGCGTCCTCTTCTTTGTTCGCTGTTCTTTTCAAGCTGTGTAACGGGACATATTTATTCTGTTACTAACCACCCATTTCATCGCCTCGCAGCATTTTTCACCATATAACGGGACATGAATTTCGGCTGTTCGAAAATAAAAAGATTTTTAATCTGAAAAAAAAAAACATTTTAATAAAACGTATCGCATGTTCAACAGAATAAAGGGTGTTCGGTATTCGCCCGGGGAATATAAAAATACCACTCGTAAAATAACATTTTACGCGGTTATAAACTTTTATTCAACAAGCTTAGCTCACTTTTCATCGGACGTTGAATTTATACTTTCAATTCCCTCGGAATGTGTTTATGCGCGTTAACAATCCGATCACAGGGAAAGGCATTCGAGACATATCCGATTAACGCGAGCATTGCCATATTTACGACGCGTTACTCCTTAATTTATGTTTACACGGAGTAGTAATAATTAGCCGTAGAACTAATTTCCACGAGGTGTCCATTAATAACGTTTAGCGTATTATTAAACGGCATGAGCTTCCCTAGGGACCCGGTGCGCCATAAGTTATTCAAATTGAGAGTCGTACAAGGAAGACGATGTTAGCTGTTCCCGCGTCTAACGATAGTGCCGCTTGTTAAACTAATAAATTAACCGGTCGACCGCGACGTAGCGGGACAAGGCATGTTGTAATTGCGAAAATGTCGCCTCGCGTTCTGCGCGAGGCTTCACGCTTCGGGGAGTCATTCGATGTTTTGCATCCAGTTAACGTTTATTAGTGAAATGGCGATAATGTAAGTCTGATGCACAATCGTGTATTTCATTTAACGACATATTCATCCGGCATATTCATCATGTCTCAAAGAAAGTATAAGGAATAGTAACAATAATAGTATCAATTGATTAGTTAATAACTCAAAATGCGATAGTCATAATGCAATCCAAGAATTAAATCATATTATTTGGCAGTGCTGCCAATACATTTAATATAATTATTGTTACACGGTGAAAAACAAAATAGTACAGAGAAGATATTATTAGTAATAATATCTTTACTATATTTACTATATTCTGACATTTTTATTCTAGTGAATTGTGTTTTCTAATTAAATTTTATAAATTATGTAACTAATGAATTATGTTTTGCTGCATTTTCCATAGCAAATATCATATTTGTATGAGCGCTGTATCCGTGGAGGATGATTATGTAAATATTTCTGAATTAATTATAATAGATTGCATTTGTGTATAAATTGTTAGGTTATTACGTTTAATCAAGTGTCGCGGACAGTATTACTTCGATGTTGATCCCAGTAACTTTAGATTGATTCTAACTGCATAGCACCTGCTTGCGATTTATGACTGCGTCGTAAATATTCCTCATTGAATTCTATTTTTCTTGTCGCGGGACAGCAGTCGTGAAAGTGCCAACAAAGGCTTACATCGTTTGAATACAATGTCATATTCGTCACGACGACATTGTTAATTGCAAAATCCGCACGATCGCGCATCAGCAACCACTGACTGTGCATGACTAGAATCCAGAGAGGACAGATATCGATCACGATATTATGCAAATCTTTACAATCAGTATCTAGGCACGTTCCCATTCATAGCTCTAGCGAGAAAGAAATAGTCTTCTATAAGCTCGTGGCTTAAAAGTATCGAATGTTTAAATTTAAATGTACTTTACTGGCAAGTAGTAGTTATGTTTGCACTTTGGTACAGTACAAACTTAACACATTCTCAACTTACGCAAATTATCTTGTGCATAATAATAACAATTTATTTTGTTTTAATTTGCAGGATGTCGATGCAACCCTATTGGATCGATAACTACTGCCTGCGACATAGTGACAGGGCAGTGCCAATGTAAATTTCGCGTTACTGGCAGACAGTGCGACCAATGTATGGTGAGTAAACTAATTTAATGGAAAATTCTAATATTACATTGTTTATATATTGTTATTTTGCTTTACTTGTTTTATTCGCCCCTTCTCTATTACAGGTAACAATAAAGTACATTAACGTAGATAAAATACAATACAACACAGTCATAATTATTTGTTTTAGGAGCAACACCAAACATTTTATGTAACAAAAAAATAATATAATATCTTGAAAAAGCATTCAAAGGTATACCGTATGATATAGCAAAATTGACAGTAAAGTTACGCCTTTAATAACAACTATTATTATTCAAAACTATAAATCTGAGACAGCTTTTTATTTAATATGTTCTATTGATTAAATTACATTAGTTATTGTTACAAGATTAACAAAATCTTATGAATAGAGATCAAATAATTGAGTAAGCGATCAAAGAAGAACATAGCATTTTAAAAATGTTCTTGTAATATAAACTGCAGTAGTTATTCGCGATTTATCTGATTTTAAATATGTACACCGACAATGTATTATAAAAGCTAAGTTATGTCGTTTACAATTTGCGTTCTACGATTATTATTAAAATATGCTGTATTATTGAAATGAATCTAATTTTTGTACTAATCGCAAAATAATTTAATGCCAATGAACCGTTTACCTTTTTTCTTTCTTAAGACTGGCTTCTGGGGTTTGGCAACAGGAGCAGGATGTGCTCCTTGCGAATGCGATCCTATAGGATCGCATAACTCTTCTTGCCACGACGATACAGGACAATGTTATTGTAAACCAGGAATCGGTGGTACACGTTGCGAAACCTGTTTGCCTGGATATTATGGATTTTCTTCGAACGGATGTCAAGGTGAACAATTAAAATATACTGTAGTTAAATGAAATTCATTTTGTATTTTCGGTTCATACAAAAATAACGATTTACTGTATATATCCCGAATATTTTTGGGAATCCCGCACACCCCTAATTATAACATATCCAACAAAAACCAGTACAAACAACAATTCCATTTGCAAAATCTGTTTTTCTTTTTTCCTGCAGTTTGCGACCCATGCGTGCGACCAGGTCATATTTGCGATCCTGACACCGGTCGTTGCGTGTGTCCAATCATGACGTTCGGCGAGCACTGCGACAGATGCAGACCAGGTTCCTGGGACCTGGTACCAGGAATCGGTTGCAGAGCCTGTGACTGCACTCTAGGCTCTACGAGGCCCCAATGCGATCATCAGGGACAGTGTCCCTGCAGAATAGGCTACGATGGGCTTAGGTGTGAAAAATGCGCGAAGGGTTACTACGGTTATCCGAGATGTCGACCTTGTAGCTGTAATTTCGCAGGTACCTTACAATGCAACGACGAGGTCTGCGATTGCAACGAGGATGGACAATGCCCTTGCAAGGTAGCCACCGATATTTCACATAAATATAATATCAGGTTGTCCAGAAAGTTCGTGCCAATTTCTAAGATACATTCAAAAACACGTTTACATTTTAATATACATATGGGTGACAGTGTTTTTCACTCAATAACTAGAAAGATTAATTCTGAAAGTTAGACATCACAGGAAATTAATCTAAATGAAATTCATGAATTTTGATGTAGTTACAAAACTAAATACCACGATAAATGTTTCATTATCTAGACTCCGATAGTCTAAATAATATTTAAGAATATTTAGAAATTTTCAAGAATATTCGTTTGGCAGTCAACGTGTTGTTAAACATGGCTGGGGTCATTGGGACCTCGGAGGGTTAAGAAACACCCTGTATAAACACAGTGCTACAGTTTCGAATGATTAGAGCTCCTATATCTGTGAACTGCTAAATTGTCGTGTATTTTTTTATTTAGGAGCATGTATTTGGAAGGCAATGCAACAAGTGCAAAGAAGGTACCTTCGGTCTCGCTGTAGACAATCCAAAGGGATGCACCGAGTGTTTCTGTTTTGGAAGGACAGCTTCTTGTCAGCAGGCTGATCTTAGTTGGGGACATCGTCGGCTGGCACGACCTCGAATACTTTACGTTAACGACACCAGTAACGATATAATAGTTAGTATTATTTTTCGTATAAAGTATTCAATATTTTAAGAGCAATTACCAATAACTTAAAGATACGATTTACAATGAAATTCTTACGTAATTAATGTCACATCGTATCTACCCGAGTTAATTTCTGTGAGATTTTATTTCACTGTTTAATTTTACGAAATTACTATCACTTATTTTCATAAAAGGACAAGGTAGCCATAGTCCATTTCAAACTCAAGTATGAGACTTTCTTCCTATCGTTATACGTCTGTTTCAGCATTGGTATCGGAATTTGGAAATATGTTTTATAAAATACAAAGCCATATGTAGATACACAAAAATATGTGGAAAATACTATCAAACGATAGTACTATGATATTAGAAATGCAAGAAAAGGTATAGATAGTGCTCTTTCCGTTTACAGGTTTCCAAGTTTAGGTCTCAAATTTTTTTATCGTCTATTAATGGTGGTTTGAATGTAACGAATGGCCTCTCAACGATTCCTGACATCGAAGGTGACGTGACAATACCTTCCAACTTATATTACAATTATCCACTTTACTGGATGCTGCCCGAACCTTTCCTCGGTGACAAGGTAACTAGACGCACTTAAACAGGGAACCAATCTTTCGTATGCGTTCGTGTCACCTGAGTTTTATATCACACTTAACACGTTGAACGCTACGGCACCCATATAAGGGTGACAGGGCTTTTCACCAAGGAACTTCAGTAATTAATTTTAAGAGCTAAATATTAATGAAAATAAGTCTGAATAGAATTCGTAAGTTTTGATGATAATACAAAAATAAGTGATACGACAAATGTTAGATTATCTAGTTTATAACTGTCTCGAGAGAAAATTTTAACCTTGTAGACATTTCCATCTGAATCAATCTGGCAGTCAACGTGTTAAAGAATAAGTATTTAGTGAAAAAGTAACATCGCGTAATTTATAATTCAAGGTCGTTTCCTACGGAGGATTTCTAAGATTTAAAACTTGGACAGAGGGTGGAATACCTCTAAGGTCAACTATGCAATATCCGGTCGTGCAACTGCAAGGAAACAAGATCGTCTTGGAATACTATTTGCCTTTACCTGTGACTAACAATCGTTACGACATCAGGTACACCACGTAAATCTTTGAATCGAGTTCTCCAAATTCTGGCAACAATTTAATGTGAAATTCTTGACGATAACAACCACTGTAAAACGACGATAGTGTATTTTCACTTTACATTACAGATTTCACGAGTCTTTGTGGCAGCTACAAAACAGGCCGGATTACAAAGTCACGAGAGAAGTTCTTATGGTTGCATTGCAAAACGTGCAGCATATTCTCGTGAAAGCTTCCGATAATGCAGAATTCACGAAAACAACGTACGTGAAATTTCGCTTGCTCGTTGGCTTCCAAAGAAATTCTTTTTTTCCTTCATTGTGTAAAAATACAATTCCATCTTTTCACTAATACAGTCAAGGGATTTGATCAAATCATATTATTTCATCTTTTCACTAAAACAGTTAAGGGATTTGATCAAATCTCTATTTTTATCATTTCCCTCCGACATATAAACCATTCCCGACCGACCTCCAAACATCCCGGCGTTTAATGGGCCCCATGCACGATACGATCTGTCGTACGACCAAACGCTTCCACACGAGAACCTTCGACAGTATGAATTGGATATTCCATTGTCTTGTGGCGGTTGGTCGTACAACGTGTCGTATATAGGGTGATCCGCTCACTAGTAGACTCAATGGACAACCACAACAATAGTTGACCGTCATAAAGTCTACAATGTGTCCATTGTGTCTACTAACGAGCGGATCACCTGTACTTGCTGGTAGGAATCTTATGAGGTCGTAAAATCGGTGGAAAATCGACCTTTAAAACTTAAGCTGACCGCAATTAGTAATCCGACACCTTTTTAGACAAGGATAAAGCTAGACTTTTCGTTCAAGACCGTACGATATTAGAATTAGAACAAAATAAAATGCTACAATAATTTGAATAGTTAGAATTCAGTCGTATCGAAACAGTGACTACAAATATTTATAATTTATGTCTTGTTGGCCCACTTCCTCGAATGTGATTACACAATTTATATTACACAGTTTATATTATATTATACATCTCCAATTACATCATAATCACCATCAATTTCAGTTTACTTGAAGCTTCTATAGACGCAGCGGTCCTAACACCTACGCATACACCGTCCTTCGCGACGAGTATTGAGATTTGCAAATGTCCACCAGAATACAATAGTACATCGTGTCAAGATCCAAGTATAGGATACTACAGGTGGTACAAGAACACCACTGTTACGTCGACGATCATTATTGATCTTGTTGGACAAGCGAAACGCTGTCAGTGTAACGGAAGATCCGAGGTCTGCGATAGGGAAACAGGATATTGTTTGGTAAGCTTCTTTAATCACTTCTTTACAGAAATTATTACTAACGATAAATATTAAAAATTAACTATCGAGCTACTGTCCCTCTCCATCCGATATCTTGCCTCTCTCATTTCCCCAGAACAAAAAGAAAAAATCATTATCCATATGTTTTACACGAGCATTTTGAATGAACAATTCCCGGTTCTTATTTGACAGAATATATGCAAAAAAGAAGTAACTCGTTACAATAAGATCTGAAATTTTTCTTGCAGAATTGCCGCGGAAATAGCGCAGGTCCGCAATGCGATGCCTGCGCGGATAGTTTCTACGGAGATCCAGAATTCGGTGGTTGCAAACCATGTCCTTGCCCGCGAACGGATAAAAGATTTTCAAACACATGCATGGTCCGTGCCGATGCTGAGCCAATATGTGTTTGTAAACCTGGTTTGTATTTTTAACATGTTATCGAGTGCTTCTCTATGAAAGGATCGGTACAATGTACGGAGCGTTTCGTTTAAAGCGAAATGATTAAATATCTGATAAAACTAGTAAAAATTATTTTTATTTAAGTTATTTATTACAATGTCAGACATTATATGAAGTAAATAATTTTGTTTTCTGAAATAGGAACAAGACTCAAACTCAGTCTACTAATATTGTTTAGATATGATGTTAATGATATAAAATTGAGATTATCAGGATTTCGGAAAACTTAAGAAACATAAGGTATGTTTATAATATTTTAAACAGTACATACTATTTCTATTCTTTCAGGTTACACTGGCAGAACATGTGAACGGTGTTCTTACGGTTATTATGGATTCCCGAATCTCCCAGATGGTAAATGTGTGCCATGCAATTGCAATCCTGCTGGTAGCCTAAACGATGAATGTGATACGGAAACAGGTCAATGCAAATGCAGAGCTGGCTCCACGGGACGAGATTGCTCTCAATGTACTGCGTATCGACATGTTTATATAAACAACGTTTGCACGTGTAAGTAAAAAACATAAAGAGATATTTATAATATAGAAGAAAAGAAATACTCTAAAATTTATACATTACGTTACTTTATAAATATAAAGCACAGATATTTCACTGAATAATGTTTTAAGTAATTTAATTTATTGATTCTAATTGGTTCCTGATTTGCTATTTTATTTGCTACGTTTCCATAGCATGCAATGACAATTGCACCGGTGTATTGCTTGATACCGTGGCGTTATTATCTCAAGAATTAGCAGATGGTACCAGTCACATAGCTGATGGTTACATTCCTCCACCATGGAAAGCTTTATCTTACATTGATTCCAACGTTACCACGTTTTTCGAAGAAATAGACCGTCAAAATAAATTGAAACAACGAATGGAAAACATCCCCTGGCATGAGTACAAGAAACTTCTGAAACACGCTGAAATGTTGCTTAGAACTGTACGTATTAATTAAAAATAGTATTATTACGTAAATAACATCAAACATTTACACTTGCATCGAATGCAATTTATTGCTGATTCTTCCATTACCGTTTATAGTTCGACTAAATATTCATTTACCGTTTTGTTTTCCAGGCAAATGAACAAGCAAAACAGGCAGATACTTTAAAATCCAAAAGTAACGATTTGAAGAATAATTTATTTAGCGCGAAAATCGAAGTGGACAATTTAAGAAAACATATTGATGGTACTTGAATAAAATTTTTTTGAACAAAATGTTTAGAAAACATTTTATATATACTTATATATACACGATCTTATATCATTTCAGAAACAATTTTACGATTGAATCAATACAGCAACGACAACAAAAGAATAGAGATCAAGAAAGCATTGAAAATGGCCAAAATGATTTTAAACAGTTTGAAAGCTGTTAATCTAACGACAAAAACGATGGAAATAGAAAGCTTCCTCGAGTTAGTATTGTATTAATTTCATTACATAACAGTTATTTAAATCTCGATTCACATATTTCCATAATCAATGACCCAATAGGAATCTTATTAGAACATGAACAGTTAATAGAAAACTGATAAAAATGCAGTAAGCACTCTCCTCGTAGAAACAAGTGTTAAATTAATATGAAGTATTTAAAAAATATATTTACACAAATTTTTGCATTAAAATAGAAAATGCAAAATGATTATTTTATTTCATATTTTTGTAATTGCGTCGTTTAAAATATCTAATAAAGAATCATTTGAAATTTCTTTTAAAATAGGGACATCGGGGAATACACCGATTGGTTGAAATCATTGTATGATGCAACAGAACCCTTCGCAATTGCTCACGATGATGCGGAAGAATATTCTGTGAAACTAACTGATATGAGAAATGTAATTGAAGACGCCATGGACACATTGTTCGACTATGACAGTTTATACAACAATATCAACCAGACTTTCGTAGAGTCTAAAAATGATTGTAACGAGATTAATGCCCTGTGGAAGGAAGTCAACGAATCAATTATCACGGGCAAAAAGATGACAGACGAAACACAGGGTTTTGTAGTTGATATTCAAAATAATGTACAGGTATGGATTTTTAAAGTGATTTCAAAAATGAAGTCAATTAATAACAATTTTTATAGAAAACTAAAGATTAACTCTTGTTAACGACATTGAAAATTATTTTGCAATGTAACTGAAACATGTTTAACGATAGTTGTTTTCTACAGACATATGATATGTTAATTATAAATTTGTGTATTATATAAGAGAATAATATATTGTTACGTAATATACAACAACAGAGGTTTATTGTAAAATATTCGATTAGAAAAAAACTGTATTACATTTCAGGATCTCCCAGAATTGCAGAATAAATTGAACTATTGGTTTGATAAACTGAGTATGAAAGAAGAATTACTGTACAGATTAAATTACGAATATAATGACAAATATGTAGTGCCAGCGGTTCAGCATGCGAAGAATTTATCAAACTACGTTGATCAATATGTCAGGTAAAGAAATCATTAATCTGCATGAAATAAAACAGTTGTAATATTTATCTTTACCCTTGTAATTTTTTTTGTTTATTGCGTTATTACTCCATAGTCCATGGAACCATAAAGATAGGACATTTCTAAAATTGTTAATGTTTTATATCTTTAAATCTATTATATATATTAGTCTTGTAGCTTTAAATAAATCGTATAACAAGATTAATTATTTCGAAAATACTTTGATACAATGTATAGAATATTTAAAAATAATATTTTAAAGCATGCAGGACATTTAAAGTAAAGGGTTTTCCAAAAGGGGCCTTAGGATTAAATAATTTTTGAAGTTTTTAAAAGACAAATTCTAAAGCCCGTTTTGAAAAACTTTTTGAAACTAGGAAAAAGTGAAATTGCATAAAATAAGAAGGCATTTCCAGTGAATAATCGTTATTTAACTTTGTATTAATACTTTCTATAATTGACGATAACTTGATAAAGTGCAACTTGGCGTTTCTGCCGAGCAGTCTGTTTTCTGAGACAAGGAGCATAGCAGCTAGCCCATTGAAAGCCAGTCAAGCGTACAAGAACATCGTCGATAACATTAACGCAGCAAATGTCACAGCAATGGCAGCTAAAGATATCACCGAGGACATATACAACAAGGTAAGGAAATGTCAATCGGAATATTTAAGTGCACAGAAGTCTAAATAAGCTTCACTGTACGGGATGTATACTAAAATATTTCCATTGGGGAAAAAGTAACTAAAGAATAATTTATTTATTAGACATTTCCCAACGGTCCCAAATCGAAGTCGCTTTTAGACAACGCAGAAGAAATATCAATGGCGTCCTCCAAACAAATGGACAGCGCAAAAAAGCATAGAAAATTGGTGGAAAATGCAAATGACGAACTGGATATTCAAAAGAAAGCTGTGACTACTTTGAAAAATACTTTGAATAACACTGGAATCAGAGATAATAAGATCAATATGGAATTGCAAAACTTACAAGACGATAGCAAGAAGTGTAAGTTCTACTATACTATGATAACAGATTGCAATAAATAATTACAATAAATCGTACATATGATAATCGAACGATCAAACGATGGAAGTTATTATTATTATATTCGTTTGTGTTTAGTACGTGAGGGTATTCAAAATGTATTAGAGGATAACGAAGAAGTATTGGAAAGCATGCAGGAAACGCAAAAGCTTATCAATGATTATACTGAAGGAATTGCTGACAGATTGAAACCAAAGATGTACGAACTGAAAGAAGAAGGCGATTCGAAGATTAGTCTAGCTAGTGAAAAATGTAAGATATATCTTATTTTGTTATTTCAATATAGCCAGTGGTGCATTCTGTTACATACAATTAATGCGTTGTTTTCTTGCTATAAAATCAAATTGTTTCAGTGACTGAAGCTCTGAGTAAGATAAAGGAAGCAGATGCAAAATTGATAAGCTTATCAAACGCTGCTATAAAAAGAAAAAATGTATTTGATAAGTGGAATGATACATTGGCTACAAAATTACAGAATCTCAAAGACAAAATCGCCGAGGCTAGAAACACAGCTGACGGGGTAATCGCAGTATTCTAATTCTTTTCAAAGAATATATCATAATTGAACGTTTGGAAACGTTGACCATTTTCCATTTTCTAATGATTTAAATAAAATTTCAAGCAGAATTATTTCGTTAATTCGACAGATTCGCGTTTCAATGAAATCAGCCGATGGGAAAGAATGCATTCGCTCGTACAAACTATCAACGTTGCAGCCGACATCCACAAATACGATAGTGATGACTTTTGCACTTCCGAAAGGCAAGGAAGAGGGTTCCCTGTTTTACCTACCGAGTAGCATAAACGTAAGTATTATTACAAAATCTGTAACTGCTTAATTTGTTCAGTAAAAGTAACTTGACTTTTCTGTACAGGATGATTTCATTGCGTTGGAGATTGTCAACAGAAGAGTGCGATTTGTTTGGAACGTTGGCGGGGACACAGGATTTCTTACTCATTCTGAAGTCATCGAAAGTGGTAACATTCGGGATGATAGATTCTGGTATCGCATCGAGGCAGAAAGGTATTTCATATAATCAATCAATATAATCATAAATAAATTTTTTATTCAAGTTTTTAAAGAGGTAGTCGAATAGCCGAATTTCTAGAATTTTTGTTGTTGTAAGTCTCGAACCGAAGAATCTAAACGTTATAGAATAGACACTCGATCAAAAATGCAATATTTATCTTCTTTATTATATCCACCAAGTCAATTATGTAACGATGTATTATGTTGACTTTCAGAATCCGCCATGTAGGTAAATTACTGGTACGAAAACAGTCGTCAACAATTGGAAGAAAAATTGAGACTATGACGAATAAGACTGAATCAAAATACAGTCGTTTCGACATTACAACGTCGGATCGCGTGTGGATCGGAGGAATCCCCAAGGATTTGTCTCAACGAAGACGAATAGAATTAATCTCGACAAGCGGACTGCCAGGTTGCGTACACCGGGTTATTCTGGATGGGAAATCTATAGGTCTCTGGAATTTCATTACAACTGCGCCGGATATGGCGTGCATAGCATGCGTGGAAGGGTAACGATACTAAAACTTTCATTTAATTCACATAGATGTCAAAGCACTTGCTCAATTAAATGACCTAAATCATATGACAAACGAGAAAACAAACATGGTATCAATTCATTTCTAATTGTCTTTTGTATTACGTACACATTTTTCAAAAGTATTTAATGAATAGTCGATATGAAGAAGTCCTGTAATTGTCTTGCCAGAAATATTTCATATAAAAAGTTTGTTTAAATTAATACATATTGCTTTCTTAGATCTTTTCTTCAATATTAAAAATACTACCTTATTAAACAGCATAAGGTTTGCATGATATTAAACAGCATATCATGCAAACCTTAGATAAAAGAACTAATTTCTCTCTCCCAGGTCTCGTTACAAATTTTAATAGTTACGCAATTGTTGTTACCGTGTAAAATTAGTGATTTGTAAACAAAAATTAGGACCTATTACGTTTTACATTTTTTTACATATATTTTACATGTGTTTATGCTTTAATATTCTAGGTTGGAAGATGCCAGGGATGACACAACTTACAGTTTTAATGGAGAAGGTTACGCAGTCAGAAACAGAGTATCTTCAGGGCCTTATAACAAATATATATTCGGCGTCTCAATGAATTTCCGGACCTACGACGAGAATGCTTTGTTATTTTTAGCCTTTAATCCACTTAATGTACGTAATACTTCTTATACCATGTATGTCCAATAATTTAACACTGAAATTGTTTCAATAATTGTTACCAAAGATTACGGGAAAAACGTTACTAATTTTTGAGTGATTTTTAAAAGAAACGTTTGCCTTTTTTTCGAATGAAAATGCATTACGCATACGGGGATGCATACCCGGGTTCTCTGGGAAGATCTTTTGCCTTAAAAAATGATTAACATCAAACAGTACTGACTTTTTAGCACGTTCACTACTCTAACTAAAAAAGATGGATGTCCACTCACATATTCTGAATAATAATAAGCCCCCTTAGTTACTCATCAAGAGAGATCTCCGAACAGAACTACATTCGAATCGTTTAAAGTTCTCTTGTTTTTAATCCACATATAACGCTTTATGTTTCCCAAATCTCCTTCATCAATCAATATTCGCACCGCTTGGAAAATCTAATATTACCGTTTATTAGAAACATAAACAAGTTAAGTAACTAATTTAATAATTCAATTTTATTTTAATTTACAACAGAACCAGCATATCATGATATTTCTGCGAGAAGGAAAAGTGATCTTCCGGGTCGGTTACGGTGGCAATGTCAGTATCGAAATGTCCTCGAAGCAAAAGCACAATAACGGAAATTGGACGAAAGTGAACGCGTTTAGGCAGTATCACCTTGATAAGAACATTGAACAGTGCACATTGAGAGTTGGCGAAAAAGATGACACAACATTTGGTGCCCCTACACCTCAGCCCAAAAAGGAAGACTTTCCTGATCTCGCGCAAGCCAAATATTACATTGGTGGTGTACCGCCAAGTTTTAGGGCGGAGAAATTAATGTTGCCATCTCAGGTGTCTTTCCTCGGTTGCATGTCTAATATTGTCATTCAAGAGGGTTATGATCCAATGGCAGAACAGTATTACGGGGTTGAGCCTAGTTGCGGGAATAAAGTAAGTAAATAGAGAACAATATTTTTTGTTGCGAGTTTAACACTCAAATAAGTAACTTACACGGTGAAAAGTTCGGCACCTGACACGCGCCTAAAAATTTAAATTTAAAAAAAACATTAATTTCATGGAGACCTAATCACAGTATCCTTTTACATTTTGGCCCAAAAGTGAGTATAAGGATGAAAAAAACCACTTCAAAATAATTTTGATTATTTATATTTTTAACCGACTTATCGAAAAGGAGGAGGATACAAAATAAAAACCAAAAATTACCTTTATTACAGGCACTAAAAATAGTTGGATTCTACGGGAATGGATATTTAGAACATTCATCATTCACACTGAAGAAACTAAATTCCACGGTGAGCTTTTCTTTCAGAACAATGCAGACAGAAGCGGTACTCCTTCTTTCTACGTTTGAAGGACAAGAGGAGCGAATAAACAACATAGGGCTCCGAAATATAGAATCAAATGTACGTAAGACACAGCCTTTTTTCCATACAATTTGTTTTCTGGTGACGCAATAAAGAAAACATTAAATTGTTAATGATTGTTGTTTAAGAGTATTCAGTTGAATACAATAAAAAGTTAAATGTATACAAATATAGTACCAACGATTTTATTCAAGAGAGATAAATATAAAGGTATAGAGTATTTTTAATTGTGTGCCAGATAACCGGCACACTAACTGCAATCGTAATATCGTAACTCATTGTCGATACTGTAATTGTTTTTAAATTTGTGAATATAACGGATAAATGATAGGGAAAATGCTGAAAAAATACGAAACGTTTTGTATTTAACTTACAAGCCTTCGTATTTTGAGTTCAATATTATTATTTCATAGTTATCCCATTCGTTCTTACAGAGAAATAGTTATTACTCTGTATGTGTAATCAACGGACAAGTACAAGTACGGATGAATGCTGGAAGAGGAAAACTCGTTCTACAATCGAATGTCACTTTTAATGATGGAAGATACCACTCCGTAACAATTATTAAAAGTAAAAGGAACGTTGAGTTATGGATAGACGATGCTCTTCAGAATAAAGGTGTATTAGCAACAAGATCCGCCATTAAAGCTCCCGGAGTATACGGAGGATTGTTCTTCGGAGGATTGCCAGAACTTATTAACAATACCAAAATGATCGCTACTACCACTCCTTTATATGGCGCCATCAAGGATGCAATATTTGATGATGAGTAAGTAGAATGAATTTGTTTTCTAATATCTATTAATATTGCTAAATTTCTAACTATTAATCATGAAGTTATGAATTATGATAAATTATATTTTCCCAGAAAAAATGTTACTATCATTCGATTTGATGAAGTTATTAATTTTGAACACGCACTTATTGGCCGTCCTGGACCAAGCATGGGAAAAGATCCTCCAACTTATACACCGTCTGCATCTTTATCCACTCAACCTGAAGGATGTCTGAAAGTGCCGTATTATTCCTTGGAACCTGGCGCTTTGAAATTCGGGGATAAGCCAAATAGTCACACTCAATTGTATTTAAATATTAAAAAATTCTGGGAGAAGAAATATGCAATAGAATTTGACTTTAGAACGTACTATCCGAACGGCTTGCTATTTATTACTCCTGTATGTAATAGTAACCAGATATTCTTTAACAATTTATAGACATCTTACTAAACATCATATTTATTAAAGTTTTCAACTTTAGACTTTTACTTCCAATCTATATCTTCAATACAAGTAACTTTTACACTTTGTGAGAAATTTATTACGACACATTTTTTCAAATTAAATTGAAGCTATATTCCTCTTACTTCTATTTTTTACATTAATTTGATATCATTTCAACAAAAGCATTACTTATAATCAGTTAAGAGGACTGTAACTTTTATGAACGCTTTAGTAAATTTAATACTTGATAGATCAATGAATAAATATAGATTTTTTTTATTCTAAACAATTGTCACTATTAATAATTTAATTAATTGATAAAAACATGATCATTTAAATACACCCAACGATAGAATTATTAGGGAAAACCTAAATCCTCATTTTATTTCTCAGGGCATGAGACCAAAGTATTACCTTATGATTGTTGTACAAGATGGACAGTTGTTACTTTTGGTAAAAACCAGGAAAAAGAGAGAAAGCAGAAAAGAAATACTGTTCAAGACGCCCTTCAACGATGGCAACTGGCATCATGTTGTGATTAGTCATGATAGAAGGAAACTAACGTTGCTTGTAGATTCGCAAACGCCTAGCACGATTAAAGTGCCAAAAAATATTGGATTGGCTCCCATGATGTACATTGGAGGGCTTCCTGAGAGTGGAACACTTATTCCTGAGCAAGTAGTGGTTAAACTGGAAACACTAAAGGGATGTATCAGAGGGTTAAGAGTGAATGGAAACGTGTACGATATGGTTGGCTCCACGAGCAAAGCTTACCAAGTGGGCCAATGCTTTCCGAACGTTGAAAGTGGAGCCTACTTCCAAGATGAGGCGTACGCTATATACAGTAAGTTATACAAATGATCATATCTTTTGTCAAATTCGAATATTACCAAATATCGGTATTTAAGTAGATACTCTCAAGCAATTTTTTTTTTAAATATATAATTATGAAATATTACCCTCATTGTACCATGTAACTCGGCTAATTTTGCCCAGCAGTTTAGAACATTTTCAACTGTAGTGGCAGTCCTCTTTAGCATGCTAAAAATTATAAGTAACTTTAATCTATAACATAAAAACGCTTCCTTTTTCAGAAAGAAATTTCGAATTAGGTGCAGTGTTGGAACTTCAGTTAGAATTTAGAACATCAGAATTATCAGGAGTATTACTTTCTATAACGGCACCAGGTAATTCGCCTTCGTTATCGTTGGAACTGAACAATGGTAAAATAATTATGTCAGGCGATTTGGGATACAACAATCCGTTGTATGTAGAACAACGTTTTACTAGTCCATACACGATTTGTGACAATCGGTGGCACAGAATACAAGCGGTCTATAACGATGAACAATTGGCACTAAAAGTTGACGAGTTAGATCAAAAATATGGTCTTCCAATCAGTGTCAATTATCATATAATGGGTTCTACAGCCTTTGGACCTCTGTACATTGGTGGCTTGCCAGGTAAAAGAATATTTAATTATTTATCACTAATAATTGTTCTAATGGTTTAATAACAATTTTAAATCATGATGTTTATAATGTTCTAAAACAAAATGTCCCGTAAAATATTTTGTAACGTATATTACTTTTATAGACTATATTATTTGAGAAAACTACAAAGCAATCTATGATTTTACCTTAACAATTTAAGTTAATATATGTATTAAAAATTTGTCAGTTCATTAATCTGTATTTCCATTGAATTGATTAACTTATATGTAAGCTGTCCAACAAAATACGAGTTTACCTCCATCCTTATAAACACAAAATTAATAATCATATTGCAGCCTCTGCTCCCAAAGGAACGTTAATAACGAGGGATCACTTCAACGGATGTATAAGAAACGTAATGATAGGAGGAGAGAGACGCGATTGGACAGACATGGACGAGTTGCATAATATTCACTTGAGCTCCTGCCCAGTACAATGATAATCAGTACAATACGTGAACTCCTCCGAGTCGTTCAATTTAGTTCCAAAGACTGTTCAAAGGACACACAATGCTTGAAATGTTTCTGTGAACTGTTTTTAATGCAATTGCACACTGGGATCAAGTGCCATATCGTGATGGGAAATCTGTAATTGTTAAGACGTAAGACTAAACCAAGCCAAAAGATGCTAACATACGAACATATAAAATCTACATCTCTGTGTTTCTCAAACTTGTTTTTCTTTTCACGGTGCAAGATCGTTCTTTTGTAGCAACAGATTCTTGCAAAACTTGTGTAAGCAGTTTGCTGAAATGTTATTCGAGGTCTCGAAATATTTGACGCTACTATTTATATTATCATTGAAAATCACATTTTTGTAAAAAAGAAATGCTATGAATGCAATGTAAAAAGATGAATTAATAGTTGCGAATAACTTGTACATACGACAAAGGCTTTCAATTAAAACTTTTATGCATTTTATTTTAACTGCATAAATTCTGTGCTCTTCATTAATTTGAGTAAAAACGTCATAAAGTACGCTATTATGTAAAGTAATTGAAAATTTTGTAACAAACGGACAAAAGATTTAATAAAGTTTGGGAAAGTGTAGTATACTAGAAAAATAACAATAATTTAAAAACTTATTTTGAAAACAATTTTATCTAATCTTTTATGATTCTAAATTAAGTGACATTGACTTGATGTACCACCAGTTACATTTTTTAGACAACACAGCAATTTAATTTATACAAAATTTGAAAAATATTACAATTATGTAATATGAATGGAATAATAATTTAAAATAGAAATAATTCATTGCTCTTCATATTGCCATTCCAATAGATATTTTAATAATAATAATAATAATAATAATAATAATAATAATATTTATAAAAATATTTTGAAGATCTTGTATTCTACATATATCTCTGCGTCATAATAAATCTTACGACGTACGACCTAGTACAAACTTGAAATAAAGGATTGTAAGAAGTTAACGTATAACTTACGAAGAAAATGTGAACAAAGTTAATGAAATTATTCGACACATATCTATAATATCAACAAGTGAAGCGTAATAGATAGTAAAAATGAATATTTATTCGTCATCAGAAATAATTTCTACGGCGTATATCACCCAGTAAATTTGCAAAACATAGTTTGAGAAACGACTTTAAAATCGTTAACAAATTATGGCACAAATTCGCGTCGAATTGTATCGTAAACTAAGTATAAAACAAATATTACGACATACATGTAAGTAGTAAGATCACTGCCATATAATTTAATTGTAACTCACTTGTAAGTCACAAAACATTGTACATCAGTATTTAAAACTATTTATTATCGTTAATGTAAGTGTAACAGCGATTTCGATCGAGAGCGTGCAAAGTGCATTAAATGCGCTCGATCAGAACCGCGTAATAAAAAGAAAAAGGACAAACGAAATGAAATTATTTTGTACTTTTGTAGCGGTAGTAAGGTATCGAGTTATAATATTTAAGACGATTGAAAGCGAACACGCGAGAAAGTCATACCTAGCGCCCTGTAAAGTGTCCTTAACGAATTAAGTCGTACGTGTAGGGAAGAAATGTTCTTCACAAGAATATTTTAATATTTATGTCTAGTATTTTTCTTATTCGTTGAATTGTAATATATTATACATACGCAGAAAAAATTAACAATGACGCCTTCGCTATTGTGTATAAAATATATAACAATGAGAAAGTATGGTCATCTAATTTTAACCTCTTCTGTACTCCAAAAGTTATATACATTAACATTACAGCCCATTAATACGAAGAAGACATACTTAGTTCCATATATTATATCATATATATATTATCATTCGCAGAAGAATAAAAGTCTATTGCAAAGTGGGTTATTAAATTTTATTGATGACATTCGCTGCAAGATGCTAACAGTAAAATACGACCCAAATTTACTTGACGTACTCAATAAATATATATCATCGAGTGGTAGTTTCATTTATGCGTATATAAAAACATAATATTTACAGACATGGATAAATCGAACATGTATGATTTGACAAAGTTTCACTTTCCTTTTTTTTTCCTCGTGACAATAAAAATGAAGGATTGTTACATAAAAGGTAATAGTTTATTATTAGTAAGCGCGATTATTTATATCCCATTCGTATCTCTGTTTTCGTTTCATTATTTATCCCGCCGGTGCCAGCTCACTAATAATATTCTCTGCTTTGAAAAATATAAATATCAAGCACAAGCAATCTTTCTTTCCAGCTACACTTTTACATCCTTTTCTTAAACATTTTCTTAACTTTTTTGTAGCTTTTTGTTCAATCCCGTATACACGAGCCGATATTCTTGTTGACTTCTTAAGATTAGTGACTACATCGTTATCATAATTTTCATTCACTGTATTTCGTTTACGTCGTTATTATAGACTTACCGCGACTCGCGTCCACGTCTTACAATTCATCTTATGGCGTTTACTTCACGTTCAATATTGTCAAGTCGGACTATTTCAGGATTTGAAGCTCGCAAAAATTTCTCTATTCACCACATTTACGACGATACGCAGTAGATTTACAATAGACGAGAATAGAATAATGAATTTCTTTGGATACTATAAACGACGGATTTTTTAAATTTCTTCTTGTTTTTTTTTTAAGCCCCACGTACATGAGTTCGCCTCGTACTGGAGATTCTTAAAATCATTGGGACGATTGAACCAAGTTTATCGTTGCGAATTAAAAATATATTTTCCGCGATTAATCATGAAGAACATGAAATTCGATATGTTACGTAATTACTTAATAATAATCAATACGGTTGTGTTACGCCATTGCAGAATATAGGGGGTCTACTGTTAAAGTGAACCAATCTCCGTTTCTTTACTTCTATTTTTTTTTTCACTTTCAACATCATCGTTCGAAATTCCATGCACATGCCCGCCAAGTTAAAATAGATATACAAAAATGAAACGATTAGAAAATGAATTAATCTTACAATATGCTAATATAACTTAAGCGACAAACGAACAAAACCGAAAAATGATATAGTGGAATAGACCCTCCATATTTCTGTACAAAAATGTATTTATCTCTATCTATTTCTATCCATTCGTTCTATTAGCATATTACGACAAACGAATTGCATATACGTTAAAAAGATCGAATCGTCAAGATGGAAGGTCAGTGCCAGTCCCACACGAAAGGCGGACATTAAAATTTATGGCACAATAAATAGTTCTTCCATTACATTATTATGCTAATTATTTATCATGTACAGTACGGACCGCATATTACATTCGCTTGAAATTGGACTGACACGTTCCATTAGGAGATGAGAACCATGTTAAAAGGAGCAATTTAGACCTGAAAAGAAATCCATGTATGCTACTGACAAAACTCTCAAAGGGGACTAACCAACTTATTAAACTGGTTAAACTTTAGTTCACTTCGTTAAAATTTTCAATACATTAAAACGTTCATAAATAAATTGCTAATACACCTCCAGTCTTCTGAATCGAGAGGAACGCAGATATGTTGAATTAAAATCATAGTAGGCCTAGAAAATTCAAATAAACATTCAATCGGAAAACTATGTATAAAAGAAATTTTGTTGTCTTTAATACTTATTTATCAAGTCATTATCTGCTTCCCTCTTACAACATACAAAAACGATACAAGATTTCAAACGGTCTCGTACGTCATAAAAAATAAGTATGTAATGCGCGCAGGAAGTAGAACAATTCGATCGAAAATCTCACCAGTTCGTATCCGTTTTCGCACTCTTCAACAATTCTCACCAGTTACCAAGACCAATTACTTTTCCTCAGAGAACACCTTTAATTTTGGTACTGTTTGGTACAGTCCAATTCTTTCTTTTCAAATCCTTGTGAATCTATCTTATACCAATGCACACTTTACAGAACTCGCTTCAAAAATTCAAATCAACGCAGCATATTATAAATTATCACGTACGTACACAGTAAAGAAAGAAACATCCTCGCATAACATCAATTACATTCAGATTGATCTTAAGGCTGATTTGGTATTCTCTTTCACTAATCAAAATCAACTTATTTATATACATATCCACTTTTGTTCGTGAGCTGGTACTTATACTTTTCAACGAACGAATTACACTACGCGAGATGAAAGTAAACTACAGGAAAAAATGTTAGGGATTGTTAGAATTCATTGAAGATATAAAACTGTTTAAAAAACATATGACTAAAAATTAACAATTTCAGAGATATTTAACCAAATACCTCTAATAATGTTGATTTGTATTCATACTCCTCAACTGTTGGTTTGGAAGTTAACAATTCTTCTTAATACTTCTATTAGAACTACTGAGAGAAAGTGAGTTGAGCTTTGTTTCGTATACTTCAATTTTGTGTAAGTCCCTTAACTTCGAAAGTTCAACGGATCGATTAATTGTAAACTTGATAAATTTACTATCATTAACATAATATTATAAATTCAACCTTACTTGCCAAATATAAACTACTCAACATATGTTTGTTATGACATTTTTCTATCTTTCACTGCGTTCCACCAATCCCTAGTGTTTCTACTTATAGTTTACTTGCACCCTCTCTATGTAGTTGCAACTGTCAACAGTTACAAATTCTGTGTAACGAGGAATCATTAATTAGCCTTCAATAGTGACAATGAGACACACAGCAGAATTTACGACGAAACAACGATTGAAAGAATTTGGATGAAACAATTTTGAGCTTTAAATCGTTTAATAAAAAATGTAGATCTTCTTACTGTACTACAGGTAAAAATTTAACACACGGCAAGCATTTTATTTGTTTACTGTTTTATCAAAATTAATTTTAAATACATACAAAAATCACGTTGAACATTCGAATCATTGTTGGCTCTATCAGAAACACGTTCAAATTAATGATCCTCCATTAACGTTTAGCGATCAATCAGTAAAAGACAATGGTACTACTGTAATAATAATTACGAGATTTTTAATTTACACGCAACGACGAAACGTGTGCGAATTACTTTATGCAATGTAAAGACGAAATTCGTTACGTGACATTCATGAAAGTCCTGCCTCTTTTAGCAAAAAAAAGAATATAAGAAATATAATACCTTTATATCAGTCACATCTTTCATTTACAACACAGTAGCTTACATGATTACAAGGCGGTTACACGTCGAAAGTTAGTCCGCAAAGATATTAGATACTGACAACAAACCATTCCTATGGTAGATATTGGTAATCTTACGACACAGTGATTGATGCTAACGTTAACTTAAAAGGGGAAAAAGACAAAAATAAAACAAAAATTAAAAGGAAACGTATGGTAACAATACTCCGTTCGATAATAGTGCGCAATCATACAAACGTTCGACGAGATTGCTCACATCTCCGAGTCAGCATCAATCATTTGTCCTTATAAAATTGACTAAGAACGCAACGTTTGCATTAATTTAATATGGGCCTGTATTAAAATAGTAACTATGAACAACAGAGGGCATAGTAGCATAATGTTAAGTGTGACACTTGTGTAAAACTATATGACGAGAGGCATGTCTTTCTTGTTCGGCAAATTCACTTTTTTTCCTTGCCAAAGACTATTATGTATTGTAAAGGCATCTATGGTTACAGTCAGATGCTTCGTATGAACTTGTGAAAAGCATTTTCCTCCCGAATTGTATCTGGGAAGAAATAAACATGTCATGTTGAAAACATTTGAGAGAGAAAAATTATTAGACTTAATAGCACGAATTTAAAATTACGAATTTATAATTATTACTCCAAGGTGTCAAAGAACAAAGGTTCCAACATTTTATGGGTAACGTGATTAATTAATAATTTTATTTAAAAGAATTAAAAGCCTCTTTACTTTTTTTTTTATTCTACTCAATAGAACAATCTAAAATCTCTTCTTTATAATGAATACTTAATAACCATTATTTTACGCTCAAAAGAAGCAACATTTTTTATCACTTTAAAACCCCGAAGATATGTTCAGAAAAAAGAATAATAAACTTACTTGAAAAATTTGTCGAACATTTTATCGTTGACTTGTTTCGGTCCAGTGCCATATAATTTCGATACTTCTTCTCTGTCAGGGCAGTATGAGTAGAGAGCCCGGAATTGGCAACCAGCGTCTCGAAATAAAATAAGAAAGTGCTTGCTTTCCGATCTTGCAATTTCATCCAAAACTCTTCTTTTTGCTTCTCTGTTTACTGTACCAGGAAATACACAATATTCTACAGCATTTAACATAATACCACGATTTGACTTAGTCGTAGGCTGTTTATACAATCTTGGACCTGTTGACAGAAGATATACATTTGATGTTTTAATTAATAGAGTATAAAACATTAAGAGCTGATATTCATGACATAGTGATATATTCTGTGTTTATTATTGGAAGTTAAATTTACTTACCGTTATAGTCCATCATTGAACTGGGTGTGCTACTGATGTCGCTGCTACCATCATCGAACACTCTTCTTTTCGTCATTAAACCAGGAGGTAAAGAGCCAGGGCCTGATGGAGAAGGTAAATGCCTCATGCTACCCATTCCCGGACTTGGTGCTCTCCTTGGTGGTGTTGCTCTGCCCAGACCGCTGTCCGTATCTGTGTATCGACACATCATACCGTCTTGATCACTACTCGAACCTGCGAACGCAAGCTCAGTATATGAAGATAGAAATAGGAAAAGAGTTCGAACATACGTGTCCAATAACGATTATGGACAGTACGACTTTCAGTGGTCAATCTTCTAACGTTTACCCATCCAAGCAAGAGGAATCCGAATTAAGAGTAACTTATTAATTACTAACGGTTAGTTCCTGATAAGACCGAGAGATATTAGTCACTTGTTAAACTTACGAAAGACCTTCAAGAATATCCATCTTCATAGCTTGCGTCCAATGCATAAACCATCATTTCAAAATATTTATAGAAAGTGTCGTACAAAACATAAGAACCAAGATTTTCTCATTCTATCTGTTATATCTATCGTATTATAAAACAGAGGAAGTTTCTTGTGATTCTAAAATGATCTAAGGAATCTATTTATCAGGAATTTCCGTAACGAAGTTTAACAATTTTTAACTGGTTCTATTTTTCTAAAATTTAGTAACACGCGACCAAGAACAATGGATAAATTCACTTTTAACAAAACATACGACTGCTAGTGATAATTTTGAGACCTGAAGGTGGGTTGCGCGAATATATCGAATGACGGCAACGATGATTGGTTTCGCACAAGCAAATGAATTGTACATTGTACCAAAATTATAATTAAATTATCTCAGAGATATCTCATTTTCCGACCTCGATACTAGAAGGATATTTCTTCAATCTTCCCTGAATATTGCTGCAATATTGCAGGAATATTGTAAATAACGAAAATACATATGTTGCCTCTAATATTACATGCTACAATATATGTGTATTTTTAAAGTTATTTCAGGAAAAAAAAAAATATAATTATATTTAAGAAATAAATTAACCATGAAATATTATGTATTTAAAATAATATTTCAAACAAATTTATTCGTTTTCATGAATAACATTACATTTTCTTATATTTGTTATGACCTTGTAATAAATTAATTTTTATTATAAAAGTTAAAAATGTAAAAATGTTATCTTATCATTAAAACGTTACTTTCTACTTTTTATGAACTCTTTTCTTAATTGACAGGAGTGCAGATACATTATTTAATTCTTTGAATTTTAGCAACGAATGTAGATTGCTAAACACTAATCATAATATTTCACACGATTCAAAGGAGTCATTTGTTTGCCATCATTCGTTAATTGTCAATATCAACGCACCTTTAGACAGGCAAATAAAGCACAGCAAATTCATCTAACAATCATACAATGCGTTAAATGTAATAGTACATGCAATAATGAAATAGGATTTTGAAATTGTATCAAAAAATATGATACGTTTATTGTTAGGATGATTTTGCTGTGTTACTTTTATGATTACACCTGGAAATAAAAACAGAGAGGAATGACAGAACAAATACATATTAACGTAAATGATAGGATAACCATATGATACAGGACCTAAATGTGAGTCAGAGTGAAAGGTTATTAAATGGAAACTGGAACCACCAACAATAATCTGAAAACACTGAATATATCGGTACCCAGAACCAGTGCTGTGCAACAATAAGCCCAACAAGCGTCAACTTAATTGTATCTACTGCAGCGAATGAGTTATCCTGTAAATGATGATCGAAATTCCATCTGCTCTTACAGGAACAATTCAAGATAATCTAGGTGTACATTACAACATTGGTAAAAGAAACATAATAGAGTAAGAAAAATTAATAATGTAATTAATTATCTAAGCATATATACAGTATAAATGTGGTAGACAGAATTTCGAAAATATATAAATAATGTGCTGTTTGTGTATGCGTGTATATATATTATATATATCACTGCCACCTGTGCTCCAATCTGCCACCATGCGACTACGTGTATGCTATAGCCTACAAAAAATTGGAACGGTGTACAGGACACGTAATATTGTTGCACGACAGAAGGGGGATAAACGTATTCCAAGTCACTGGTGCTTCTTACCACACAAATTCATCAAGGAATTAGACTTTCTCCCCTTAAAGTTTTGGTAACTCGGGTATTTAGGCCTGCCTCTAACCTGTTGCTGAGGCTCCTGCACATCTGCAATAATGCAATGTTTACCTTGTTACATTCCAAACGCTATGTACGATCAAAGATTAATAGTAGGGGATGCTTCAATCGTACGTCATTGCATCAGGGGCAGAGTCTAACTACGAGCCATGTCCGCTAGGAACATCAAAAACTCAAGGTAGCCGGTGCAGGTTGGTGCAGAAAAATGTTGCGTTCCAACTGAAAGATATCTACTATAAGGCGCTACTTAAAAATAAAGTAATACCCTCAAGTAACCTTACTTTGGGTATTTGGAGAATAATCAAACGCTAATGAAATATTCAATATCGTAAAGTTCATACGTAGCTGCCCATACCAGTGATACATCCTGCAACGAGTCTACTTTCATCAAGCCAAACGTTTAAGGAAGATGATATGGCATTCTTTTTGTGAATAATGATCAACCCACCTCTAGATGTCTTGTAGGAACCACGTCGACCAAGTTGATTCATGCTTCGACAAGGCGAGGATCCTCTACCATCGTCGGGCGAATCTACGGAAGATACTAAAATAGGGTACCTCTATTACAATCAGTTAGTTTCTCTCCAGGATGATACTAGATATTATCTTTAAGACATGTTATACTACGACATTACACTAAATGACAGATATTAAAAATAAATTCAAACATGCAGAATTATACGAAGGGAAAAGTGCTATATAAAATTATTACTACGTTAAAAATGAATAATTCAATTTGTATGTCATCGAATATTTTCCAATCTGGATTGCACAGTAACATACTTGACATGGTATATTGCACTTTCTTCAATAAAGTTAAGACAATACGTTATAGCAAATCAATTCGTGAATGTCGTTTTAAACTTTATCGTTCACATATTAAGCAACAAGTATAAGCAAAAAATTTCAATTAGCATATTAATAACCATAGAAAAATAATTAAGGAACATATTTTTATAACTCGTTCAACATTTCGTATGCATACTTATTATGCAGAAGCTAATTTACATATGCAGGGTGAATTGTCTAAGACTGTCACCTAAAATATCTTTGTTGCTTTTATTACTGTGAGAAAATACTTAAGGAAATAGTACCTCATTTAATGAAGACAAATTCAATGAAGAAATCTTATTTTCCGAGATAGCATGAATTCCGGGATAGCATTGACTTTATTTTTTTCTTTATGTACATAAAAAAAAATTGTTGTGAATATCATTTAAGTAATGAAAACTAAAAGTTAAAATTGATAAAAAAAACGTCTTTTTTATTTTAAAGTATTCTAAAGCATTCTAAAGTAGAAGGTGGTCTTAGACATTTTCTCGTATCATCAAAAGCAACAGAAATAATTCAAGTTCCTTAGGCGATCCACTCTGTATATACACACGTATAGATGTATATGTGTGATGTTCCAGATACAAATGCGAGTCAGAGAATGTGTGTTGTGCATACCCCTGAGACTGCCGCCCCGATAAAGAGGGCCGGATCGTCGGTCATCAAAATGGGCAGCAGTAAGACTGTCCTGCGAGCCTCGGTAGTAGTCTCGCCTCATCGTCGGGGAGGTCAGCGACGCTACAGTAAGTGTGTTAGTGCAAAACAATGAGCTCAAACTTTCTTCGCTATTCTAGTTTATTCAAATAGATCTAGGAATATATCAAAATCAGCTGTGGCTTGTTAATGTCTTCGTTTTAAACAGCTGAAGGCATAAACTAGCATAGGTGAGAAAAATTGGAGCTTGTGAATTGTGATTGGGTGAGATTTCATTAAAGAAAAAAAGAAACAATTACAACAAAAGATCAGTATGAAAGAAACGGCATTACTAAAAAGAAAATAAAACTTTTCTGACTCGAACTTTGCCATGCAAAAATATGTATGCAATTACAATACAACATTGAGAAACTGACACTATTAGAATATTATAACAAAGGAGTACACTTGTTACAGTAGCAGTGGTGCTTGTTGTCTTGGAGAACCGTTTATGGCGTAGTGGAACGCTGTATGTCACGTATGAACGTAATAGTGACTGTTTTAACACGAATAAGTTGTGCGAATTTTATGCAATTTTCTATAACTTTTTCACGATTAGTCTCCAAGAAACATTGATCATTGCGACGATCATTATTACACTACTAAACCATGTCACATCCATCATCATACCTGTACTTAAATTAGAAGAAGAACCCTTTTTTCCACGACTAGGCGTCAGAGCCCCAGAATCCAATTCCGCCCCAGCATCCACATGAATTGTCTTGGGTCGTGGTCGGGTTGTTGCAGTCTTATTGCGCAGTTTTGTTGGTTTTATTGCATTCAGAAGTTCTTTATCGATAACCTTGCCCTAAATACAGTAACGATATGTGACAGTTCATTTCATTAAAGTAAATATTATTGATAACTCAGACACAACACCCACTTCTCTCTCTGCTTCCTCTATCGCCTTCTTTACTTTATGTTGTTCTAAAATAGATGCTCTTCGTTGTCTTTCTTCTTCTTTTTTACGAGCTCTTTCCTCTGCTTTTAATTTCTCTTGTTCCCTACGCGCTTGTGCTTCTGCCTCTTTTCTCTCTTTCATTTCTTCTTGCTGCTGTCTTCTTTGTAACGATTGAAGCATTATACGTTCTTTCTTCCGCTCCATTTCGTCCAATGAATTCTACAAAAATGAAGTAAATGTACGTAATAAAAAGACCTTCCCATGCTGTTTAGAGCCTAAACTTACTGGATCAGGATTTGCAAGTTGATTTCCAATTATTAATCCAATTCCAGATTGGCGACTTTCTGCGCTGGTGTCACGTCGTTCTCTTTGCTTTTCTCTTTCTTCTTCTCTTTGTAACTCTCTATCTCTAATTTCTTGTCGTTGAAATTCCCTTTCATCTAGTTGACGTTGCTTTTCTCGATCTGAATCTCGTCGAATTTCTAGGAGCTTCTGTCTATCAGAAATAGCAGAAGGAGACTCAGAACGTACCGTAAAATCTTCGTTGTCAATATACGACGATGCTGTTCTTTCCTAAGAAAAATCATGATCAATTTAACTGTAATAATCAGATCAATTTTAAGATTTTAAAAATAATGTACGTTCTACTGTATTGACACTTACTACATAACCTTTACTTGGGATTTTCCAATTTATATTTACCTTCTTAGGAGATGTTCTCTTTACTCTGAGAGTCGGTTTTGGTTTCTTCGGCGCGTCGTTATCGAAACAAATGTAGAACCCTTTTTCACCAGCATCCGTTGGATCGAGAGGTGTAACCTCTGGAGTACCTGATGGAGATGGTGTGGCTTCTCTTAACGATGGATGAGGTTGAAATGAATTACGTGATATTGAAGGTCTAGTTGGCGATGGAATTCTATATGTACGGTTACCAGACGTGATGTGTAAACCTCTTATACCTTGCGAAAGTTCATCATCGTTTCCTTTAAATCGTAAGGACGAGTGAGGAAACAATAACACAAAGACAATGGCATACATAAATAATATAAATACCATTGTTAACTGTGTAAGAAAAAATGTATTTACCAATAAATGATATATTTTGAGGTTTCATATCGTCGACGGGTGGAGCTGGAACAGGAGTATGTAACGCAGTAACTTGTCTCTTTTCGGTAGGACTGTCGCATTTAATTGGTATGTGATGTACTGTCGGCCTTTTTGGTTCGGGGCTTTCACTCATTAACTGACTTATTCGATGAACCTATATCAACATTTCAACATCCAATGAAAACAACAATACAATAACCCGATATATTAATATTGTCTCTTCTGTTATATGAAAAAAGTAACAAATATTTTTTAATTAATAATAATAAATTCTATTTTGAAGAAGTAGTATCATACAATAAACACTATTTGTAAAACACACACATTGGTAAATTATACACAACAAACGAACCTCATAAGAGTAATCATATGAATTAGTGGTAGTAGCTGAATAAAATAAGTGCATATTGTTAATATTGTCGAATATGTCTTAAAAAATAGCAAGTAGTATCACGACGGGTATAAACGTTTAAACGTTGAAGCTCCAATACGAACAATGACTGCCATACTGAGTGTCAAGAGTATCTATAAATGTGCATTACATCACTAACTGGTTCCATGACTGCTGCTTACTTATATGCATGAAGTAATTTATTTAGTGCCCATGTGACCAAAAAACTACATAACATGCAATCTTAAAGTACAAACGTGAATTTGTTGCCAATTGTATTTAGTAAAAGAATGATATGTCTATTCTTATTTATATTTCTTCCACAAATTGTTTGTTCTCATTTATATTTTTCAACAATATTTCTAATATACTAATTAAACAAAACTTTGACAAATTACTATTTAAACATTCAAAAAGATTTATCAAAAAATGTCAAACGCGCGATACCTAATTTTATTATCACATTACTTCTACCAATATCAAATATTTAGCATTTACTTATTAAATTAATGTTAACGACTATAATATAAAGTGATTAACGAAAGTATGGTACTCACCGCATTACGATGTTGTGGACTAGCAGAAGACGGTGGTGTTTGATTAAAGATAGATGAAGATGTTGGATATGTAGACCCAGGATGACTCATTTGATTATTACAAAGACTATGATCTCCACCATTGAGGTACCTTGGTTCTTGAGAAGTATCATGTAAAACAAATCCTTTTTGTTGAGGTGGATGTGTTCCCCAATTCCGTGTGTCTTGAAATAAGCGCATATCTTGATGATAAACTACAAATTATGCAATTCGGATGTGTTAAGAAGAATGAACATTTATGTTGACAAATATATTTTCTAAAACGTAGAATATTTACCAAATTTTATTTAATTATAATTAAAATTAATTAAATTATGTATTCAATTTTAATTTAAAAGAATGTATGACAGATGCATACCTGATGGTGGAGAATTATATCGCGAATCTACTTGTTGTTGATAACCCACTGCGGCCATTTCATTTGCTAAGCTTTGCGTAGAAGGTGGTTGACCCCACATTCGTCTTTGTAACTGTGGTTGATCGTGTAAATAAAACTGTGATTGTTGAGAATCTTGTAGTTTTGGGGTTATCGGATTTATGGGTGTTATTCCATAACTCTAAATAATGTAAAAAAAAAAGTAAAAATTACAAAGTAATAAAATAAATATAAATTATAATATGACTAAAAAAGAATGTACGCACTTGCATATGTTGCTGACTAAGACTCTGTAACTGTTGCAATTGATGCTGCATTTGTTGTTGGTGGTGGGTCATTAAATGTTGCTGCTGTATCTGATTTTGCTGATTTGCTAAGCGTTGTATATCAGCTTGTATTTCACTAAGACTGCTATTCATCCTGTAAAAGGATGTTATGAATGTCTGTTCAAAGGAACCCAAGAAGCTAAACGTTTATACAACTGTTTCGCGAGGCAAAAGTAAATGCTCACTGTGATATAGACTGATGATATTGGTCAAGATCCATATTTTCAATGTCTGGGGTACGTCTTGTTTCAATAAATGGTGCATTACCATCGTGCTCCAACCATTTATGTTCAACGTCCCGAACATCCTCACTAATTTCCTATAGTCATCAATACAAGTATGACAAATTATTTACAAAATTGAACACAGAATTTTCATTGATATTATTGATATGATGTACATCTACAGGCAATTTTAATTATACGTTGTGTATCTCGTTCACTACATCTATTAATAATTTAGTATAAATGACACCATGCCCGTAAATACATATATTATATGAGCACGTAAAATTTCTCACATACAATATTGTTATATTCTTTATGAATATGTCTGCAAATATATGTACTGAAAATGTATTATTTACCTGTAGATATACAATTACATGTCGATAAAGGAACAAGTTTAATGTGTGAGAAATAATAGAATAGTATCATAGATAATTATCTGATTTTAAGCTCCCCTATGCTTGATGACATAGTGACCTAAAATTTACAAAGAATCTATAAGTCTTGTATTTATAAATTTGTGTAATCAACATTATTTATAAATTTCAAAATTGGATAAGAAAAATTGTAGATATTAAGATTGCCTTTCTGCATGATTTTAAATGAAATAACAGGTAAAAGTACAATCACCACAGATCAATCGCTACAATGAACTACTGAGGTAGAAATATACATATAACAAGTCAATCCATTGCAAAGTATTCATTCATATAGTACATAGACACAAATGCCAATATAAGAGTTGTTTTGTTGTTAATGTTTTGTGCTAGAGCATATTTAGAATACAAGAGAAAAATACCATCACCATAAACAGATAATAGTGAACAAAATTTAAAACACATTTTTATTTCTGTCCAGGGAGTGTTTAGTACTGTACCATGCATTCCGAGGACGACATTTTTACAAACTTCATCGTAATGAGAGTAGAAGTTACTCAAAGACCACAGAATGCATTGGGACTGTTTCGTTTTCCTCTATGGCTAAATGTAAGCGACAACAAGCGAAATAATCATTCGTTGTTAGAAACTGAATTATGATTGTCCACTAATAAAAACTTATGTAAAGCACATCTTCTATCTTACTTGCAGCGTATTACAGCGTATTATCATTGCTTTTGAAATATCTCGTATACTAATAATTAAAAGAAAGTATTGAAAACCTTTCACTGTATTCGTTTACGCTATAAACAGCAAAGGTACAAACAAAAGTAAATGTCTGGAAGCCATATTAAAAGCATGTATGTAAATCGCTAGACAAATCAGCGAATCGGCAAGTTTTTCTCAAAATGTTCATCTACAGGAACGCTATTGAATGATATCGTACCTTGAGCGAGAAGGGTCTCTGTGGTTTTTCTTGAAAGGGTTGTTGGGGTACGGGGGTCGTCTCGGAAACACTTGACGGGGTCTCCCCCGAAGATCCGGAGGTTACAGGAGTGGGGGGACCGATTTCGGCCGGACTGTCCCCCCCAGACGTTGATGAAGAGGGAGATTTAACCTTACCCTGCAACCAGCCCAAGCACCGTGCCTTGTTAAGTACTTTGGAGTCCGCATATGCCGAGTCCAATATGTCACCAACCACCACACCATGGTCGGAGTGTCTCCACAGCCAAGTTATACGTTACATTCAAGCGCTAAATGCCAAAGCCAATTCAACTTGCAAATACTTCATTGCCAATGGCTTGTATTCACTATTGCACCAATGTTGCTTTCTCAACATGTGAAAGAGATCTCATTAGTGCATAATAATTTTGACTAGAGTGAAAGAGAGCATAACCTCCATTTAACAATTTGAAAGTTTCCCAAACGGGGACTACAGTACATTTATTTGTTATATTCTAGGTTCTTTTGTGCGAATAACGATCTGACTACCAGGTATACCTGTTATGGTTTTAGCTAATTGTAAGTTTAAGAGTGTGTATTTTCTTCTAATTAGCACTTGATAAGTAAATTTGAATGTAATTTCTCCCCTGAAAAGTTGCCAATAAGTAATGTCAAACATGCATACCGTCACCAGATTAATTACATTGTTTTTTCTTTAACCTATGTACATTCAGACACGTATTCACGTAGAGAATTTCTATGTGAAAATATGTAAAGCAGAAAAAAGAGAATGGCATTCAAGAAGTTAATAGCCTATTTTATTATACAAATCGTACTGCCTACATATAAATTTTGTAATTCTTTGGTAACATAATGTTATCATGTCAGCATGCACTTACCATTAAGTACAGCTGAAAGGCGAGAAAGAAAGACGTATTTCAATAATATTGCTGGCAATAAAAATTATCTGCGTTAACCATGATAGGCATCGACATTATGTCGCATTTGCAACTACACACAAATTCATTACTTGATAAAACTAATGATATATAGAAGTAGATGTTACAGAAATGAATAAATATTGAAAAAATATGCTGCGTTTTTACCTGAAATAAAAAATTATTATTCTAAGCTCACTTGCACACTACTTGAAAATAATGAAATGTAGTAAAACAGCCAGATACGAAATTAAACGAAGCATAAACGCAAACGTGGAATAAATATTGAGTTGCTTGAAAATTTTAACAAATTGTATTGCAGAAGAAAAAGAAACTGCTTGGTGTCCGACACACGTTATAATTATGCATTGCTCTATACTAAACACCCGTGGCTAAATTTCAAGTATCTCATGGCTGTATTCAATGTTCTGTTTCATTTTATGAAATCTAATAGATTGTATCGTCTTTCCTTGCCTTCATATAAAAAAAGAAAATTTCAATTTTATCAAATGTAATCCTCTTCAACAAAGGAAACAAATCATTAAAATGGCCATGGAAATGATCTGGCTGAAAGACGCTTATGAGGTTCGAAATGGGAAATGCGAGTTTTAAGGGAATTACTCGTTTTACCTTTGTAACAGCTTGCAAGAATGCAGCTTTCCCCACTTTCTGGCGCTGTTTCGACATAACAACCTCCATTCTCCTCTTCTCATTTTCTATGTGACGACGTTTCTCTTCCAGCTTCAATCTAATATTATTCAGTTGTGAGGCCATAATCGTGTTACCACCGTTTTCATCTGCTCGCATGAATTTCATTCGGCTCATCAGTTTCAGAGCGTCGCCATAAACAGCACGCTTCCTTAAATAAGACATACGTACCAGCAGAATGTTGTTCCGCTTGCTGGGATTGCTGGTTACTTTGCTGCTGCCATGTCGTCGTATTAGGTAAGGTAGCGAACGTAGTTTTCTTTTCCCCGTTTCCATTGCCATTGGTTTGACCGTGTTTCTTGTTCGAAAGGTTCGATTTCGTAGTAATATCCTCGGACTCGGTATAGTTCAGGTTAATGCTACTCTTTTCCGAGCTTTGCCTGTTCAAGTTCGCGAAGCTTGCTAATTTGGACGTGTTGTCCCCTTCCGAATTATCGTTTTCACTGGAATGTAAAATTTGCTTGAGCGCGACGTTGTCCAAGCTAGAATTCGAAGCTTGCCTTCTCAATCTTGGGGGCTCGTCATTTCCATAACCGTTGTCCGCGAGTATGTGTTGCACGCCACTACCGTACACATCCTGAACGCTAGATCTCGCAGGCAACGTAGGCTCGGTCGTACTTCGTTTGCCTATATGAGCTCCAACTTCCTTGTCCGGATTTCTACCGAAGTTGTGTAAATTATCCTGCACAAAAAGTTTCCTATCTCAGTCGACCGTTTTACGATTAAGTTGGCTATGCAAACAGTTTGCACGCTGCTCACCTGAGACCCGCCAAAGTTTTCAATCGTCAACTGAGAGTCGTCCGAAACACTGTTACGTCGAGATCGACGACCAGCGTAAGAACTTCTCCTCTGGTCTTCCCAGTTGCTCGGCCGACCAGCGGCATCTGCTCTAGCTAGCGATTTCTCGTCTGCTACAGAGCTCAACGTAGGAATGCCTTTGCCACGATGGACTACAAAACTTTCTTCGCTCCCAGCTCGTCTGTAAACGGAGAAAAAGTTAGGAAAGCAGCAAACATCAATGGGATGGAATTGAAAAAGAATTGCAGAAATCGTTTAGTACTCGAATTCGTTAAGTGCCATATTGTTGGTTTTTTTTTTTTCAAAATTAGTATTTATTTTCTGACTATTGTATTTAAAAAAATACTTTATAAGCAGAGAAAATAATTTCTTCGTTAGCTCTACATTTTTAATCTGATTCTCACTTTTTAACTTGAACGTACATTCTATTCAAAGTAATTGAAAATCATAAATAACTGTTTGTTAAAACGTACCTGTCATCGTGCGAATAATTCTCGGCAGTTTGTTGCAACGACTGCGACTTCTTCACAGAGGGGGATGACGACGCTTTCGCAACTAGAAAATAATTCGATGCTGAATCGATTGTTTATGTATGCATCTAGAAAAACTAGTACCAATATCTAAATCAATCATCATTTGTATGTGAGAGAATGGAGACTCGGAAGGACTTTATAGTCGGTGAGGAATATATTTACATAGCGCGATACGCGCTGAACGAAACTTGCATGCGAAATTTCTACGACTGGCACGGAAACATGTAAATTTTAAAAGATACTTTCCGATGAAAAATGTACGACTATCATTCGTCACCGAGCCATAGAAACTTCGATACACGCAAACTTCTGGACAGAAATTTATGAGAAAATAGAAGCTCGTGTTATCGTACACCCGTAAAATACACACCCGTCTGTTGGGGGTAAATGTTAATTACTGCTACAAACTAGTGTCTAGCGTCTCTAACCGTCATGGTGATGTCTCATAAATCGGTAACCCATCGAAAATGGAAAGAAAAAAAAGAAAAGGATAAAGGATCGCTGAAGAGTCACAAAACACGAAACACGCAATAACGTAGACAATGTACGCTGCAAAACAAGTATACTAACTCAATATGGAGTGGATATATTAATGAATCGTCCAGACTTCACCCTGCATCACTGAATGATACAAGACAATAGACAACATGCAAAACAGAAACGAGCCAAAAATCAACGTCAATGCAAGCAGCAACCAAACGGCCAAAAAGTAAAGTGTATCCCAAAAATGTGGAGGTTTGCATGCAGTCCAACTTGGAAGGCCGCTATATGTGTGATGGTGTTCAGTATTACGCAAATAATATCGTTAGTAAGAAGCAGTGCGCCTACTTATACGTCTGCGTTTTGTTGCACAGTTAATCTAAACATCGGGCCACGTTTTAAATGCAGAACGCATGTTTTATCGAAAGAACAAGTATCTTTTGCGGTGATTCGCTTCGTTGTTCCTGCGTTGAAACGTTTTCTTTTTTTTTTTTTCAACTTGTTCAGTTTAATATCCTATTTAAAACGTGTTTGCAAATACATGTGAATAACGATAACAATTAATTTGGTGAACGAAATTATTGACAGTGTTCCATCTAAATGTCACGATGAAATTTGAAGATTTACCCTTGCGTTCGCAAAAAACTTGTTTCACCCAAACGATTGATTAGATATTCTTCAGTGTTCGTAATTTACAGGATTACACAGATTTTTTTTTAAGGGAAATCACACCGAAGGATAGTCTAACTTTCGTCTAAAACATTTTTTTGTAGACGCAAAAGATGCCTCGTAATTATGCGACGAATTTGTTCAAGAAGATTAAAACAATAATCGAGCACACTTTGCCACTGTCAAAACCATTATGAAATCAGTTATTAATAAAAAAATTAATAGTACTGGATATACATGTACGAAACTTAATTTTAAACATAACTCTCAAAGTCTACGGATGGTAAGTTTAAGTATGAATTCATTTAAATGCAAACTCAGAATATCTAATTTACTTTCAAATAATACAAAGTCCTTGATACCATTCATCAACTGCTACACTTCCTAATGCGCTAAAGTACTGGATCATTGAACGCGATTAAAATTTGATTACGCTTCGATATCGAAACACTTTCAAAGCTTTTATGAATAACTGATACCATTCGGCGGTACTACATAAACAATATCATCGCTTCAAACAGGGAGCATCGCGTTAACAAACGTTTGCTCCGACATAAAACTTCGTAATCCGCTAACGTGACATCGCGTTATCAACAGAATCTTTGTTGAAACGTAAAACTGAAGAAGAATATCCCACGTATACGCGGTGCCATCTTAGTGAAGTTGAACAAAGGAAAGTAAAAATGCGTCGCATTCAAAATGCAGTAATCTAAGAAAAAAGAAGAAAAAAAAAGAAAATAAAAGGAAAGGAATGTGAAACGAGAAGAAACGAAAAGAAACAAAAAAAAAAGAGAAAAAAAGACATCTAGAAACAACAAACTTGAGAGGTTTCTGGATCCCTCGGAAGACCTGAATACTTTTTCTTTGGTTTTTTTTAAACGACATGTCAATCTGCGAAATTCACGCGTTTCACAAGAGAAGACCACCTAGTTTCATGATTTGGTTGTTTGGTAACGTGTGGGTACCTGTGAAGCCTGGCGCGGATACGGAGAGGTTGCTTCTCAGATCAGGTATCGGAGCTATAGACTGTGGCAGACTTCTTTTATGAGCTACGCCATGACTATTGCGCGGGCAGGCTGCACCCGTCACCGCACCGTATTCGTTCATTGGCAACCGGAAGTTGACGAAAGAAGAAGGCGAGGATAGCGTTGTTGTCAAGCATCAAGAAGGTTACGCCATAGAAATATATGGAAATATTACAGTTTTACATTAAGTGATATATACGTGGGGGATCGTCGCTCTTTCGTTGTTCTTCATTCTTAATAAACTCTCTAATCTGTTACAATGTTCGACTTAATTAAAAAAACAGATGCGTTTTATTAGTCGCTGCTAAGGACCTGGATCTCGAGACTGGGAAACGAGTGTGTGTACTGACACTGATAAAAAGCGTGATAACGTTCCGACTGCGGGCAACGTTCCCTTCTTCCGTTCGATTCCACAATAAATAACGAGACAGACGAAATTCGTTCGACTCGAACACGCGAGAAGCCTAGGACGGTCCTTGCACGGAGATACGTTGCCCGCAACAGAAACGGAAATTCCATGGAAATAAAGTATAATAAAAATAAATTATAGAACGGGTAAGTCCAATACAGAATGTACGCAGCCTTCACCAATCACATTAATCCAATGCGAACATTCATGAACGCTTCCTGATGAAAGGTTGCGTTCATAGTGTCGAACAAATATTTCCTATTAATCGAGAAAATGTCGTTGAGACGTTTAATCATTTTCGTACCATCTAGGAATTGCATCGCCCTCTCCTCGCCGGGGTAACGTACGCACTTTGCAGGATGAATTTCCAATACGTTGTACATGTCCGCCAGGAAAACAACTAAATTTTGCTTCATGGACCTGGTCAGAGGAAAAAGTTTGTTAGATACAGCGTCGTGATCTAAAGTGGCTACGGCGCGGTGAATACATTTCATTCAAATTTAACGAATTGTTATATACAAATCAAGGAAATCACTTATTGTTTATTCGCTTGGTCGATTCACTTATTGTTGATTGTGCAATCGCTTATGATTTTATATTTCTCTCTTCATGCGTCATGCATGTCTGACTCGAATAATTACTGAAACAAGAATTCTATCATTCTGAACATTTAAATGTAAACTTCTTGGCGTGTTTTTATAAATACTCCGTATTAGCCCCCCCCAACTGACGAGACGAGGTAAAAGTAAATGATTATCACTGAACACGAGAAATGTGAAGATTCATGAGATCCAATTGCTCGGTGTCTCTTACCCTCTCATGTACGTCACGTCCTCGGGTTGCATGTGAAAAATGGAATACGGTAAACATCTGTTACAAAACGCGTGAACCAACGACAGATTGTGCAGGGCGTCCGCTACCGACGGTCTCTTCGACACACGGATGTCCATCCAGTTCAGTTCCCCTGGGCAATAATATGCCACGACCGCGGCTAAACCGACGCCATCGCAGAGTGATTGGAAGTCCTTGGCAGCGGGCAGCTCCGGCAATCGCGTTTTATCCCCGGCACCCTCTTCCGTTTGGATTTTTGCGATCAACGCGTGCGACGCATGGCTTATCCAAAGAAGAAGACCCCTTTCGTGATCCCCTGGGACATCCACGTCAGCCTGAGGATCGAATCGTCGAATCGCTGAGACGACGCGGTCCCCAGTCACCACTTCTTTCGCATACAGGACCATCAGGCCCTCTATCACAGCCATATGCGCAGACTGCAAAATAACATTCGATTACCGGATACGGCTAAGATATGCCACCTTACAAATTGTTTAGACCATCAAACTAACGCTAAACCTACCACGGCCGGTCAAATGACCGCTTTCAAACTTTTGTATACAGTTCTTATATACAGGGTGTCCACGGTAAAGTGCGACAGTCGCGGTATTTTTCAATAACTATCGATGATACGAGAAACTGTTTGTATGTAAATCGCGGAATGAAACGGGATCTCTATCGTGGCGCAAACGAACATTTTTTGATGTTATTAATTTAAAAGATACGACGGTGGATCGAAGGACGTTCATCATAGCTAGTGACGCGCATGAGACGAGACAAATAAATAACATTCGAGACCGAGATCGAGATTCAACGTATCGAGATTCGGATGAGATCGAGAGATTATTTGAAATTCTCGTGGAAATCTTGAGAAAATCTTTTATTATATTGCCGATCGCCAACACATATGACGCCGTGACTGCTCCGCTAACAAACAGTGCTACATACAATTTTGTTAATATTATAAATCGCTTCTGATTTGAAGGCAAGTTCCGACCGACACACAGTGTGATATTTCTCGTCTCGTCTCGTGCGCGGTATGAAGAAGCAATTATAACGTTCTCTTACCATCTTGAGTGGTGAATTTTGAATGAGGATCGTTTCGGTGAGTTGAGTATTGTTTGGCTCCGCGAGATAAACACCCTTCCTGGCGAGAGCTTGCAAAATACCGCAGTGATTCTGATTGTGATAATTTGGATCCGAATAAATATTTGCCAGCGCCAAACAGTACAGCTCTGCATTGGAAAGTGCGTGGACGATCTGCGGCTTCAGGTGTTCTTGATCCTGAAATATAAAGCAGAGGTTCGCTAGGAGATTCGTTAAAATTTCTTTCGTTGAAACGGTCAGGAATATCGAAACAAGACTTTCCCAAAACATTAAGTAATAACGCTAAAGCTACTTATTTGTATTTTTTTCAATGACAATTGTTTTAAAATATATATCGAAACATTGGCATTAACGACGCGTAAAATAAAACAATGTTCTGCGGAAAACGAGGTAGAGTCATTTCGCGAAATACTAAATATTTAAGAAATGGTGCCATTTTGGATATTATAGTCGATATTTAACGCCTTTTTTTATTTCGTGGTAATTTCTTTTGGTCCGAGCATTAAATATTTTTAAAAATAACGACTATCCGCTGATCGTTGATTAATGGCCGATATTAATAGCCGAAAACGAAACCACTCGCCACTTAAGGTGCATTTATTTTGCTGCAGTGTATCGAATCATTCCAACTTCTACCCATGTCATTGGTTACCTGCGATTCACGTAATTCGACGCATCGTGCATATTATTCCACGATCGTCGTACGACAATGACCGCGACCGATGTCCCCATGTATTTCCGTTACCATGTAACGTCGTATCGAGTTCTTGGCATTTCCGCGCACCGTGCCGGAAATTACGGAATACTAATATTTGCTCGTCGCGTCTGCAGGATATTCTTACGCGGTTGCAGCCGCTCTATGCGCCAGGTATTGTGTTTCAAATTGGCACTGCGGGCAGATCCGTTTCGACGGAATGTGATTTTTTTTCCTGGAGCAAAAGATTATCTAGCTCATCCATACGAGCTTTCTCTTTCAGCGATTTACTTATTCAATTCGGCGTTCATCGATCAGATTAAGGGGAGGAGCCACCTTGGACGCGTGAAAATCTTAGCTATACTATCGTATTTTCTTTTCTCTTTTTTTTTTTTTTTCAAAAACAATTGACTTAACGAAAGCTCTGATTGCTGAGATTTATTATACACTAGCTGTGCCCCGCGTGGAATATTATTTATTTCATGTCGTTCGCGTTCGATTGACTGTTTAAGGTTGACTCAGACCATACGACACGTTCCGGCACCGACACGACGAAACATTAAAACACGCGTTTTAATGAAACAATTCTCACTTAACGGACACCGACCTGAACGTTCCGTCAACGGGAATAGCGTGAATAGTTCCATTAAAACGCGTGTTTTAATATGTTTCGTCGTGTCGGTGCCGGTCCGTGTCTCATAGTCCGAATCGACCTTTATTCTTCAACCGCGTGTTCCTTCGTAAATCGATCGCGATCACTGTCTTTTGTTTTCCGCAACTCAAACATCGCAATCGATATTTCTCATTGCGAGTATAACGATGCCACAACTTTATTTGTAATTAAAATAAAATATACATTCCATGCCATTCGTGATTAAAGAACAAAATTTCAACATCCCTTTTGTTGAGCCCTTCATTCTCCAAAATATTGGAAGATGGTCAGTCAATCCAACGGGAAGCGATAAAAAAAAAAAAATCTACTAATTCCGTAAACACGACATCGACAACCTGTACGATGCACGATTTACCCAGATCCCAGGGAACTAGATCTCGCGTGTCGAGATGCTTTTACTTAAATCGCCAACTCGAAGCGGATCTGAAGCGATACGAAAACTAGTTTCTCCCTTTACAGACCGAATCCTGTCTCGCTTGAGCGAGGAAATTAGGGCGAAGTTGACGTTAACGTCGGTCAAGTTAGTATCGGAGCCGTCTGGGTTTACGACAAGAACGTGATAAACCGGCCTGCTTTTGAGCTGCTCAACTTGAACACTTTTGGTAGTTGGTTTAATTTTCGTTAATTAGTTTTCTGTTCTAAATATAGCTGCACGTGCTTCAAACCTTAACACGGGGCTTAGTAGTTTTACGAAATAGGTTAAAGGGATGCCCTACTTCGGCAGCCACGGAATAGGTTCTACGTATTTGTGAATTTTTTATCGCGCTACTATACACCTGATCGAAATTCATTTTCAGATTGTCGATAAAACGTACAACGATAAGCTGAAAAATGAAATTTTTAAATGGTATTTATTTTGGCTTCGCATAGTGGTTGTAAATTCGTACACGAATAACGACGTTAATTCGTGACTCAAAATGCTATAAACTGATACTTTGAGTAATTGCAATCAATTTGAAGTGGGAGACATCTCGTAGTTGCCAGTGAATGGGTCAAGTCCTTGCAATGTATTACATTTGCAACTCTATCGAATACGAGCCTCTTTTATTCAAGATTGTTTGATTTTGTTTATCGTAGAAGACTCAAATCGTTAGAGGCTACAATAAAATTTGTTTTACAGCAAGCTACGATTAATATTAGTCTTTTTCAAAATTTCATTACTCAGATGTATGCAGTATAAAAGAACAATAGTATCAATATCGAATCGCTTGAATCGAATTAGAGTTTCGTGTTAAAAATATAGATTTATAATCGTCTACAAAGTTCTGTGTTCATGGAAATACGACTAACGGAAAAGAATAATTGCCGTCATTAGACTTTATGGTACATTAACCCCTTCGTATAGTCACTCAAATGAGCTACCGGTTGCGTATGAAGTGGCCAATTAAATCTGTTCTTGATCCATAAAAACAACGTCTTGAAAATGAACGAGGAAATCATTTGACCTTAAATAACTAGAAAGTATTTTTCACGGATATCATTAATGCTAATTACATTATTAATTGCGTAACTTTATTCGATCAATTTTATATAAAGAATGACCTAATTTCGGTCATAGTTTCTCGTTAATAATAATAAAGTTAGAGTGGAAATCATTGTTGTTTTCTTATTTATTCGTGTCTCAGCGAGATATTCGGGTAGAAATCTTCATTCTTCATCTGCTTCCATTACTTTGAGTTTTAAACAAATCTATTATATTTATATGTAGTTCAACTCTTTGTTTCGGAATAATTTTCAACTGAATTTTCTAGATCAATATATAAAAAAAGTATTTCTAAACTGATATATAACATTATGCAATGTCGTCATAATTATCAAACGTTACAAATTTATTTTATGTTCAGTTAGCTTTAATTTTGGTTCCTTTGTTTGAAAGAGATCGTTACATATTGAATTATATTTATATTAATTTGGTAAATTAAATCGTAGTATTCACGAGTTCCGAAGATGATTCAAACAACAAAGAATCGATACGTGAAACGAACAATAGGTTGCTTGACATTGCAAAATTATCACGGATTAATTTGCATACGTACAAGAAGCTTGTCTATGAATATTACATTGGGAGCTGTATTCAAATTTGTGGTTCCACAAGATGGAAGGAACCGCGAGATCTGGACCATCGAACCATGCCACAGATAACAGAGGACCGAAGGGGAACTCGGGCAAACAATTCTAGTTTCTGAGCAGCTGATGTCGTAGTCGTGGCTTCGTACGAGAATCGATAAACGTGAGTTCAGCGAGGCAAGGCAGGTGAAAAGGGTCGGTCTACAAAAGAAGCAGAAGCACGCGAATAACAGCAAAATCAAAGCGAACGAAACAAGGGTAGCATAGGAGAGAAACTAAGAGAACGAATTTTAATCCGACTGGTACCATTAGTAACTATGCTATCGATAATAAACTAGTTGTTATCTCTAAATACTGTTAGTCTCTGGTGCACGACTGGATTTACGACATAGATCCTTCTAGATCGTTTTCTTCCTTTTTACATTCACTTTATTCTCCATGGTTTTGAACTATTTTTGTCGTAAAAAAAAGTATTCCTCTCGCGTTTCAACGTACTTCAAGTTCGACAAATCTAATTCAATTGAAATCTATTTAATTTCCAACAATTTTGAGGATTCAGTTACGCAGGATTTGGATGATGCATGACGTTCAAATGACGTAAAATAACGGAAGAAAAGATATATATAAAGAATGATATATTTTGAGGATTCAGTAACGCAGGATTTGGATGGTGCATGACGTTCAAATGACGTAAAATAACGGAAGAAAAGATATATATAAAGAATGATATATTTTGAGGATTCAGTAACGCAGGATTTGGATGATGCATGACGTTCAAATGACGTAAAATAACGGAAGAAAAGATATATATAAAGAATGATATAT